TCAGGAAAGGCAAACAACGAAATTATCAAATTACAACTCTATTCACCATAATCTAACAAAGCATAGAATGGCAACCAAACCTGTACCTGAACATCATCGACTTCGATTGTCGCTTCCATGTGGATGGTTGCTTAGCCTCTTTCGACGATCAAAAGTCTGTGGCTAGCTTTGTGTCAAGTGTTAGCCATGCCTTAACTAAGGCTGGTTTTCGTTTAGCTAAATGGGTCTCAAAGAGTTTAGATGTTTCGAAGCATATAACTCCAGAAGACAGAGCACCCACTCTACAAGATTTATCTATAGATTCGATAACCTCTGAAATCGCGTTGGGTATGTTATAGGACGTTAACTATAACATATTTGAATTTAGTGTGGAGGATGTTAATAAGTCAGTTACTCGGAGAGGTGTTCTGTCTGTGTTGTACCACCTCATATACTCCAGGCAAGGAAGGTATTTCAAGAGATACACAAGAAAGGGTTGCAGTGGGGTAACACACCAAGTGAGAAACACAACGAAGAGTGGAAGAATTGGATTAATAATCTAAGATAGCTGGGTCGAAATTGCCCTTGAGCCACTGAAAGATCATGAGACGGTCGACCTCCATTTTTTTCAAGCCCATCTGAATTTGGATATGGAGCTGCTCTTTATATCAGAACCACTATAAGAGATGTTATAGACGTTCGTCTCGTGACAGGAAAAATCTAGAGTCGCACTTCTAAAGACTAGAGCCTACCACCGCCTTGCTGGTTCCCCAGCTGTTTACAACGGTGCTCAAGCAGTTGAATTATTTCATGTTTTCTGCAACGTTTGAGATCGATTCCAGGACCGTGACATATTACTTACGCAACGAGCCAGCAAAATACGCTTGTTTTGTGACTGACGGCGTGTCTCGAATTCGTGGAACAACTGGTGCTGAGCAATGGAGGTGTTTCTCATCTAGAGGAAACCCTGCTGAAAAGATAGCTGGTAGGGTTGCAGATATAAATTCAGTTTAGAATAAGTGATATAAAGGTCCCGAATTCTTGCGGTATGGGGACTGTGTATGACCCAATAAAAAAGATAAACCGTGAATGTATAAGGGTGTTAGAGTTAAAGACAAATGTCAAGTTGGCGTGTGCACAAGGGAGATATTCAGGCCTGCGTCCACCCTTCCAACATCATTCTTCCTGGTATTAACTACTGTAGGCTGTTGATTACATGTGTTATATTTATAAAAGACATGTATCTTCCAGGATATGATAACGTCAGTGTGAGATTAATGAGAGTTGGAGATATAAGTAGTGCAGAGGTAGCAATCCTGAAGGCCACAAGGAGGATAGTCTCGACTCCCCACAATTTAGAGTACAATTGGACAGATTAGTTTCAGTAACTCCAGATGAAGTCGCTGAAGTATATGGACGCCTTTGAAAGTTAGAAACACCATACGAGACCCGTCACCCAGCCTTATTGCCCTACAGCCACCCAGCCACTGCTCTCAGTAAGACACCACCACGTCCTTGGAGGTCATGTAGGTTCGTCCCAAGTGTTATCAAGCAATAGACAGAAGCACTGGATAGTGATCAGTGGTGCTACCGTTAGTAAAATAATTGGTGGGTGCGTGAAATGTAAATGAATGAATGCTCACCTAGCTCCATAGGTGATGGCACCACTTCCAGTATGGCAAGTATTCGGACAGAATGATCCATTCCAGTATGTCGGAGTGGACTTATTCGAACCTTTTTCGGCAAGAAGGGTAGGAGCTTATGTGAGAGATACGGTTGTCAATTCACTCGTTTTAAGATTAGCACTGCGTATATCAAAATAGTTCATTCGCCAACCATTGTATTCTTCGTTCTAGTGTTACTAAGATTTATGAACCACCAAGGTACACCAGAGACGATGTTCGCTGACTGACTTCGCCGGCAGTCACACTCAGTATAGAAGGTGTTTTGAAGACCCTTATACTAGAGTTCAGGAAGATTTACTGGGGAGGAACACTGAGTGATATTTCAACACGCCACTAGCCAGTCAGAGGGATAAGCTGTAGGAGAGACCCACAAGAGTTATCAAACGTGTTTTTAGCTCCTTAACCAAAAAGCAAAGCACGACTGACGAGACACTGAAGGTATCTTTATGCGAAGTTGAAAGAATTCTAAACGACCAGTTACTATCACCTGTAAGGGATGATGTCAAGGATATTGACGTACTAAATCCTAATAAGCTGTTGTTACCTCAAGGTAACCCAGGCATATGAGGCTTGAGCACAGAACCAAGACTCACGATTGAAAGATGAAGAAAGGCCAAATACCCGAATGATATGTTTCGCAAAGGTTGGTTCAAAGAATGTGTGCTAGCATGAGACAAGTGAGAGAAGTCGTGTTGAAAATTGCAAGCCAGTGATATAGTCTTAGTATCAGATAAGACTACCACGAGTAGACGGCCCTAAGGAATGGTAAAAATGATACTCTGTGGTAATGATGGATTGGTGAGGACAAGGTGTGGCACGTTGTGCGAGATTTTAGGGGGCTGCGCTTGCTGGAAGGAACGTTGGTAAAAAGGTCGGAGGTCGGACCATTTGACGATTTTTCAACTTTTAACCATCAACCTGAGGGGGTTGCAGGTGTGTTGTAAGTCTTGCAATTCCTCAAGAGCAGTACATCAAGGCACGGTCCACAAAAGTGGGTGAACCACATGCATATATATATGTGAATTGGTGTGCAAGCTGAAGTCGTTATCTGACTTCCCCCTGTTCAGTTGTTGTCTTTGAATTCTGTTGTAATGCACGAATCTCGTTCAAATTTCATGATTCTTACCTCCGATATCGTTTGAGTCTTCTGCAATTCATGAAATGATTGAGTGGTATCAAAATCACTGAATGAGATCTGACACTCCGTGAGGGCTTGAGATAAAAGTAGGATGGTGCTGATGGAAAATCACCCAGTGCTCACATGGACAAAGATTAGTTGTGCCATTGGCGATCAATGGTAAAGAGGTGTTTTGGTTTCGGGCGTGGGTCCCACACATCAGGGAGCTGAAGAGTCAAATCCCGAAGTTTGCATGCATCACTGTTACTAGGACTGAGATAGTATAGGTGAAAACTGTTAGCAGTGACGACTGTTGCTGAGCAGGGAAGAGGTTGTGTAAAGAGAACCACGTAGTACTGCTATGGTTAATCCGGTTTCCGCATGAGTTGCTGTGGTAGGTAGCGTTCGTTTTGCAAGGTGCCACGAGGGAGCCACATCTGGAGGTCGGTTCAGTGAGAGATATAACGCCCTTAGTTGAGTTTTGCACACTGTCGTCGATGAATAAGGGTGCACA